CTTGGATGTGCGGGTGGTTTTAAGGACAATGGATACGAAATTTTTGGGTCGGCGAGCCGGGCTCCAATTCCCGTTGGGTTCGTAATATTAACTTAGGCGCAAATATACTTAAAAGGTATGAATCCATCTCAACTCCCCCAGCTATGGGTTAATTAGTAACACTTGTATCAGTAAATCATCATTATCTTCCGAAATATATTCTAGCTTTAAATAACCTTTAAAGGGTTCATCAGCCGTAGAAAACGAATTATTTCCCAATCGCATTTACCATTTTTCATGACGCAAGTAATTGTCCTTATAAGCACTATAATGTTTTCCCCCGTGTGAATCCCCAATGGTCTGTGAATCGTGAAACAAGGCCTCTGTACGATCACTGAAGTTAAGCAATGTCAAGTCTGGTCAGTACATAGATGGGTGACCGCTTGGGCCTGCCAGATGCTGTAAACTTCCATGTAATGGATAATGATTCAAAATTGTTGATCGGAGAGACAAGTTCCATATCCCGTTGTGTCTGTTATATTAAAGTACGCGCAAATACAGTTAGTAAAGGTATGAACCCACTTCTACTTCCCCCAACTATGGGTTAATTATTAACACTTATATCAGTATTATCTCCAGACATTTCTCGCAATCTGAAAATTTTTTCTGGCTTTAAGTAACCTGCAAAGGGCTAAGCTTTAAAAAACGAATCAACCAAGATACATTTACCATTTTTCAAGACTATATCAGTATTATAATGTTCTCCCCATGTGATTTGGAAACTGTCTGTGAATCATGAATACTTCTTTTCTAATGGCTATTTTCTTTATAAGTTAATGGGGTCTTTTATTTTCTAATTGTTGGACTCATCTAAAGGTAGTGTTTTTCATAAGTACCATTTAGTATACGTTGTCTCAAATCTATCTATCTGCCTATATTTCAAGAATGTTTCGTTATTCTGAATTCTATACTCTTTGTTTTCATTGGTCGGTTAGATATCACTTGCTCACATTTTATGACGTTAGGATGGACGTTTTTGTATGTGTTTGTGTGTACGCGACGAGACATATACAAAATCGCCCACTAGAATTCGGACACACGCACACATACATTCTACTATTGAGCACTATAACATATGAAGAAATGAGAAAAACGAAGCAATAATAATCTTCTCATATCATCGACCCGTCATCCGGCCCATCATCCAACCAAGTCAAAAGTCGTATGTAGTGCCGGAGTTAAACCAAACAATCTAAAAAGAGATACATTACAGTCTGAATAATAATAATAAAAAAACATCCTGAAAACTATGACATTGATCGATAGGCCTTACGCATTTATTCTGGCTAGCATTATTGGTTGATGAAGTTCATTTCAACATATTACATTTTTTAAGACGATTCTTTCAAATTCCACCGAGATTCGGATGATGGCGTAACAAGTTTCGATTGAATACATGTAAATTCGAAATATTTTTTCACGTCAAATTAATGAACAGTTTCTTATGCGCAGGCGCGATTCAGTGCGCACATTTTTATGAGCGTATTGGGACACGATGCTGAGCAATCAAATCTCACAAACCAGTTGACAAGTGCCGTGCGTTTGACCCACACTGGGTGCCGTAATACTGTTTCTTCCTGAGAGATTTTAGCTATATTTTGAGCTTTTAGTTTCCATCTGGAGTTCTCTAAGCGGGCGGCATAGCCCTACTGGTGGCGGTGTAATGATCTAGAGGGTGGTGAGGTGACAGTGGGCGGTTTAAAAAGGAAGTAGAGCTTTAGAACCGATATTTTCTCTATTTATTTTTTTTTTTCACAAAATTGTATGACATAATCTAAGTCGCTTTCGCTTAAACAAAGAATACAATTAACATGTTATACACTATTCCATCGTTTCATTTTATTTTGTTATCCAAAGTAAAAAAAGAAAGAAAAAAAATCTGATACTATTTATATAGGATGTACCACACGCCAACCAGAGTAGACAACAGACATCTACAGACGCCTTTAATCTCAGTTTGTAGGTATATCTATACAACCACACATGTTCATCTGGTGTCATCTTCTCTAATGGCAGCTAAGAAAAGCCGAAATGCAGAGACGTACTTTACAGATTATATACAGCCGTTGTTTTAAATTTACCATATAACTACGACCAACAAAATGGTTTCATCATATGAAAATAGGCGAGAAATAAGATTGCGGAAGTAGAGTCAAAAGAGCTGCAGCTACAAATCTACTAGTTTAGATCTACTTTTAACTAACCATTAACTAATGAATTATGATCGATACTCACAAATACCTCCTTCGATCACGATCACCAGTCCCGTAAATCAATAAGGTCGTGGGGGCTCCATATGAATTGCTACCGAATCAATGGGATGTGGGTTTGGATAGCTGGACAGAGCACATGCTTCCTCAAGCTGGCTTTTAATTCAATGTTACTATTATATTAACCTATGAACACTAATGGGTATGTCCCAGTCCTCATAAAAACGTTAGACACTATTGTAAGTCGGGGTAATATGATGTCTCAGCAGTCTATCACTAGCAGCGGTTTACCTACAGTTCGGGTTCGATTCTCGGTAGCGGATGCGCACTGCTGATGAGCCCCAGATAGGACGAAACAGCCGTCCAGTAATTTCTGCATTCTGTTGAGGATTATTCAAGACTCGACGAATTACTATAGCGTGAAACCCAGGGTCACAAACTCACATCTATCCAACCATATATATATATATATATATATAAGCAAGTGTAAATGTAAGTGTATATATATATATACACTGTGAGTGAAAGAATTTTCTTCTTACATGCTAAATCAATTTTTTATTCAACTAAAATGTTATAAAGGGAAGGAATACATCATTGTCGCTCTTTATCGTCTCGGCATCATAATTAAATATTCACCAACTTGATCTATTATTTATAAATCTTTTATATGTATCTTGAACGAAGAATCAATCAATCATTTTTTTTTTATCCGTTACAAAGTTTTGTTTTTCTTTCACTTTACGTTTGGAATCTTTACGTCAATACTTCGCTATTAAGTTTTCCTCGCCTGAGTAAAACGTTGGTGACCGTTAAATGGGCTTGAGTCGTGGGAAAAGCAAAGAATATCAATTTACAGCACTCTTTACTTTACCTCGCCGTAACCAAAAGGATTGCCCTATACTTTTTTTTATGATAGATACTATAGAATAAGAAAAAAAAAACTTTCCTGAAATAAAATTTCATTCTCTTCAGTGAACATCTGATTTTTCATTTGTCCGTGTGTAAACGATTCGTCAAATATTCCACGCTTCGTCATTATTCTTCATATTTTCTCTTCTTCAAGCCTAGACATACAAACGAACTAATGAACTAACAGAGATGTGCTGAAATATTTGTTTATAGTTGTTTCAACCGACTAACAATATCGAAAGAAATAGCTTCTCGTACACTCAACGGTCGATGCTTTGACAAGCTATTGACAAACAAAGGCAGATCGGCATTGCGTTTCGCTTGTCTGCCGCTTAATTTCTAGTCGGGTTTTTTCGTTTGACGCGTCCGGAGTAAATGTTGGCAGCTCACATAAAAAAAAAAAATAAAAATACAACTGAAAAACGATTTATGTTTGTTTTCGTAGAACTGGTTGATACAGGAGTTGGCTTTAGGCGTTTTGCGTATGGTGGGTGAGCGACGTAAGACGGGAAGTGTTGGAGAAAAAAAACAAAACAAAATGGAGGCCATTAGGTGACTACAGAACGCAAAGGTGTCAAAAGTGTTTGGTGCCAGATATTCCAATTTTGAAACGTTTTCTTCGGTCGTATCAAATGTCGGTGAGAAATATATATGACAATTTCAGATTTTACAGAATTTTGCGTTTTACAGTGTAACCCGGATATAAGAGAGTTGTCGGGACCGGAGAAGAATCTCTTATATCCGGGTTTCTCTTATATCCGGGTTAGGTCTATTTTATATACATTAACACAGGCTCTAATTTGGGACCAGAGAAAATCTCTCTTATATCCGGGTTTCTCTTATGTCCGGGTCTCTTATATCTGGGTTACTACTTTGTTTTAAAAAAATCTGCCTAAGTACACGCGTACAATTAAACAGACGTCATAGTGGTCGGACACTTAGCAACAGGGAAACTGGAATTGGTGCACCGAGATCAAACTATATATATATATATATATATATATATATATATATATACACACCTACATTCGTGCTTCTACAAACTTATCACATAAAAATTATTTCGGCAGATTTTTTTTTAATAATACTGGATCTCTAAACGCTAAATTAAACGCAGATTCAAAGCTCAAAGTTAATATGAACTTAATATATTATTGAGGTGTAAAAACAAATTGTAGGTAGAGGGCTATTGTAAAAGCCCCCAAAAATGTGCTATTTTAAAGTTTAAAAGAGGAACGCTGGGTAACTCGTTAATTATTAATAGACACTATTTAAGATTAACTATTATATATATATATATATATATATATATATATATATATATATATATATATATATATAATAGTACTAATCTTATAAATATAAGAAATTATACTCGTCCGGAAAACCATGGGTACTTTGATATGTAAATAAACAGACTAATATCCAAGGGAAACAAAAGGTACAAAAAAAGAAATAACAGAGAACATGTACGTCAGCCGAAGACAATCGTCTAGCATCCAAGTTCAGAGTCCAAAGAAGAAAAAAACCAATACGAATAAGTAAAATAACTAAGTAAAATGCTCAATACGCTAAGTAGAGCAAACCTAATTAAACCTAAAGAGCCAGATAAACCTACCAAGGTTTCACCTACGCGTATCGCTAGGGAACACATATATGTTTGGAGGTTAGTTAAAGCCAGAAAAATATATATTTTTTAGATTGTAAGAATATTTTTAACATAACGTTGCTTTAGTGATAAACGTTTTACTCTTTAACCCCTTGCTTAGGAAAAAGAAGTCGCATTCCCAAGAGGTCCCCTATTCAGATAGCGACCAGGCTCGACGTTGCTTAACTTCG